AAAAAAAAAAAAAAAGGCAAAAAAAAAAGAAATAGAAATAGAAAGAATGTATTCAGTCTATTCTTCCGGACTGATACACATTATGACGTGTGCTGGAGGTGGGACGGAGAGAATCCGACTTCAGCATTTCTCTTATTGTTTGATGTACGCTCTCCACGAATAGCAAAAGCATATGTGGAACACAGAACGCACACACAAAGCATACACGTGTAGAGCTGATATCAGCACCTCCCGCACACACGCATAGCACGGCATCTAATCCACATAGCAAAAAAGCATGTAGCAGCAGACGCACAGGCATGTGCTATAGCACTTTCCATCCATGGAGAAACATAACAAAGCATATAGCAGAGGCAAACGCACAAACGCAAACGCATGCGCTATGGCCTATAGCATTGTCCATCCACGGAGAAAGCTGACCTGATTCTGGACACGCAACAAACATTACGTACAACACATCGCGCATATAGCATGGTCGAGGGAAAAGAAAAAAGAAAAAAAAAGAAAAAAAGAAAAAGCAAGATGCACATACAGCGAACACAGCTTATAGCCCGCACACAGTGCGCACACACTTTGCACTTTCCCCGCACACGTAGAGCGCTGTGACCTTCAACAAACGATCTGACTCAAATCACTCGACAAGTACCGCGGACAGCACATCGCGCTAATACTAGGAAGCATGATCATCGAGAACACAACTCCACATATAGCACAACAGCTTACGTCACACAGACAAACATGTGCTTATGCTTGCGCACTAACACACGGGTAGGCATGCGTACGTACACAAATTGGTACAATACACGTACAGGACAGATACCATCCACCTGCTCAAACACACAAAAGTATTGAGATACTAGATTCAGTACAAATTCAGAATACAAATACACAACACAATAGCATACAAATCCAATCGCACGTGCAAGTTATAGAACGCATGACGCCGTGCCACACGACGCCAAGGATGACTCGTTTTGTATCACGCCAAATCACGCCAAACCAGCGCCGATGGGCACGCAACGAAGTCCATTGGTGTTCTAACTTGTCACATGGTGACTAATGTTGCATGCATGATTTCGTTTACCAATGTCACATTCACCACGCGTTTACCACGTCACATTAAACATGATCACGTTTACCATGTCACGTTAACCATGAGCATGTCACATCTACCATGTCACGTTCACCACGGTCGACTAAGATGATCATAATGTATCACGCCAAACCAGCGCCGATGGCCACCCGACCATGTCACGTTCCCCCGAGTACAACGCCCCCTCATCTATTGGCGTTCCAAGTTGAACGCGTAACATGGTGAGTAATGTTGCATGATCACGTGCATGAACACGTTTACTAATCATGTATTTGCCACGTCACATTGAACATGATCACGTTTCCCACGTCACGTTAAACATGGTCACATATACCATGAGCATGTCACATTTACCATGTCACGTTTAGCATGGCCGCATTTACCATGACCATGTTACGTTTTCCATGTCATGTTCACCATGAGCATGTCACATTTACCATGGTCACGTTTACTATGCCAAGTTTACCATGGTCACATTTACCATGACTACATCTATCTCCTATGTCACGTTTACCATGGTCACGTTGACCGGTGTTGCATGTCACATCTACTATTTCACGTTCACCATGGTCACGTTGACCGGTGTTGCATGTAAAGGATGCTGAGCTTCAAAGACGTTTAAACTACGTGAACTTATATTAAAGGTACGTAGTCTTTAGAATACGGAACGACTGTCTCATAATTATATACGACTGCGACTGAATGTTGCATGATCACGTACACCATGTCACGTTTTCCGTGGTGCGTAATGTTGCATGGTAGCTTAATCGTCCATCATTCCGCCACAGTCATGCATAATTGTGAGACAGCCGAGTACGACAGTTTCGAACAAGATACAACTCTCACGTAGCTTACGCCATGCACGCCTTTGAAGCGATACACCCTGCATGGCTATGCATGCAACACCGGACGTCGTCCTTTCTAACGCGATGCAAGACGTCCTTCCTAACGCCATGCACGGCGAGCATGATCTCTCACGACATGCACGCTACACGAAACTTAGGACAACCACGCTTCCTGCTCTACACGCCTACATAAAGCATAGTACGTGCATAGTACGTACTTCCTTCCAAAAAGCATAGTGCGTGCTACTATACAACAGTCAACGAAACATCATGTCTCAGCGTTGCACTCCTCACGGGTCAGCGTCGCAGCGACCTGCCAGCCTCGAAAGATAACAGGTCACCAATCAACCAATTTGTCAAACAGCGTAGCTCAGCAAATCCACGGCCAATGCCAGTATATCACGAGCCAAGACACGTCTGGGTTCTCTCTCTCTCTTTCTCTCTCTCTCTCTCTCTCTCTCTCTCTCTCTCTCTCTCTCTCTCTCTCTCTCTCTCTCTCTCTCTCACCATAAAACGGGGAACACCGAACCCCTGTGTGTGTGTTGTCACTGTTCTGTGAGCTTTGTGTGTGTTGTGGAACTTCTGCGCGTGTGTTGTGAGCTGTGTGTGTTGTGCACGTCTTACGTCTGTGTTTGCGCGCGCGCGCGCGCGCGTCTCACGCTATAGAATGGGCGACAGAGAAGTTGAGAACCCTCCTCTCTCTTTCAGACTTTCAGCGGCATCAGCGTACATCACGCACAAAACGTCAGGCTATTTAAAGAAAACACAAACACCAACCACACACACACAGAGAGAGAGAGAGAGAGAGAGAGAGAGAGAAAGACAGAGAGAGAGGTCAAGCTATTTAATGCAAACACAAACACCCACCCACAGACACAGAGAGAGAGAGAGAGAGAGAGAGAGAGAGAGAGAGAGAGAGAGAGAGAGAGAGAGACAATCGATTATATTGGATAAGGGAGGAAGTCCATAACACTGTCATCACCTTTCGTTAACTCGACGCTACCACTCAATAGTTTTCGGCATTTCCACCGCCTCCCTCCCTCCCGACAGCAAGCAATTATTCAAACAAGCAGGCCGATTTCCCGGCCGAATCACGTACTGAGTCAACAACCTGTCCTGCGGATATCAACCAAATCATACAGCCGATATCAACCCAATCATACCTCGACATCTAGACGACAAAACTATATCCAACCTTAAAACGTTCTCAAAATTATTAACCTACTTATATGTCACACTCCTCGACGTGATTTATTTCCTCATGTCGGTCGCTCTTTTACACCCATCCTCTCGCTGATCAGTGTCATCTACCGATACTCTACGTCCTACGTCCTGACTTCACTCTTATCTATTCCCACACAGGAAACATTCTACTAGGCTACTTTCATCACTAACCTTTTAAACCGAATACATCGTGGGGTCGTTATACCTCCAATAACCGCGTAACTTCCACTCTAGATACAATCAAACTGACCGTATCTTCTGTTGAGCTGACCCCTGACAACGCTACTTCCCTACAGAAGTCCACAAAGTCAAACCACCGTTGGCCATCAAACAACTAGTCACGCCCTGTGAGGCTTAAAACCTACCACGTCACAAGTTTCTCTATTCTCAATATCATGAACAGAATACAACACCTCCCTCCAGGACCCTCTTACCTTCTCTTTCTAGAGTCCCTAGATCTCCACTTTCTAGAGTCTCTAGATCTCCTCTTTCTAGAGTCCCTAGTCCTTCTCTTTCTAGAGTCCATAGATTCTATTTCTAGAGTCCATAGATCTTTCTAGAGTCCCTAGACCTCTTTCTAGAGTCCCTAGAGAAATCCACGAAGTCAAACCACCGGTGCATTTGCAGTCCTCTGCATGAGTCGTAAACTTCGCCGCCACATCGCAGAAGACTCATGCTCACGTCTCCCCGACCCCGACTCGTCCCTACACCATCCCAATCCCGACTACCTTGCCCCTCAAATCTACAGCGCGCTTCAGAATTTTATGGGCGAAATTTTTCAGCGGCGGCGCTCAACGACTTTTCATTTTCCAGCGGCCGCCTTGAACGACTCCTGTCCGCTAAGCTCCCTCCGTTAAGCTCCGTTAGCATGTCGGTGAAGGTCAGCGGCCGCCTCGGCCGCCTTGAACGACTTAAGATCCATCGACATTTCCGTTAGGCTCCGTCAGCATGCTCGTTAAGATCCATCGACCTTTCTGTTATGCTCCGTCTATTAGGCTCCGTCAGCATGCTCAATCAATCCATCGACATTTCCGTTAGGGAGTCAACGACCAGCGAACAATAGAGAGTGCAACGACCACCGTTAGGCTCCGTCTATTAGGCTCCGTCTATTAGGCTCCGTCTCCATGTTCGTTAAGATCCATCGACATTTCCATTAGGCTCCGTTCACTCCGTGAACACGTCCGTGAAGCTCTCGTCGAGTACCAATCACCAACCACCCCTCCTAAGCCTCTTTCTTCTCCTCTCCTGATGTCTCCGGCACGGTTCCTTCTGCTGCTGCTGCCGCCGTCTCCTCTCCTTCGCCCGCTTCAGACGACCCAGCCGACGATCTCAATCCCAATTTGCAGGCCAGCCTTCCCGTCAGGGATTTGCCGGGGCGCTCGCTTCTGTACATAATGCGGTGAAGAACGTTATCAGTAGCGCCCGGCGCGAAGAAGCGGTACAAAGCGAAAATGTTGAAGTACGCCGGCACGACAACGTACCTCTGCCGCTTCGAAGCCCCAGCTACGATACCCTTAGCGGCCACCTCCGTCTTAATTCGAGACGACAACATCGGCCCGAAGTGCACCTCCGGCCTTCCTTCATCCCACACACACTCTCCCGTCTCATTAACAAACTTCCCTTCCGTTAACTCCGACGAGATGACACCTGGAGTCGCTATGGTTATCGCTACGCTTCTACCAAACGGCTCTGTCCTTAGGTCGTCGTAGAATTTGAATAACGCAGCCTTGGCTGCATTGTAAAAGGCTTGTCTAGGATGAGGCAAGAACGCCGCCATCGACGAATTGACGATCACCTGGCCGCGGCTCTTGGTCAGGTGCGGAATCGCGTAATAAGTGGGCCAGACATTACCAAAGAAATCGATGTCCATCAGCTGACGCGCCGCCTTTAAGTCCTTCAGCTGCTCAAATTCGAAAGACTGAAGGACGCCGGCATTATTCACGAGGATGTCGACGCCGCCGTACTTGTCCACAGCAGTCTGAATGATCTTCTGGCAGTCGTCCTCCTTGGCGACGTCGGCAGCGACCACCTCCACCTCCATCGCTCCCTTCTCTCTGCACGCGTCCGCCACCGCGTTCAGGTTGTCAACTCGGCGCGCAGCGAGAATCAGCTTCCCCCCGGCCTTTGCGTACTCGTATGCTATGTGCTCACCGATGCCAGACGACGCCCCCGTGATGACGATGGCCTTGCCACGTGGCTTGACGCGCCGTGTGAACATCCACGACACAGTTCTGCACACCGCCGAGCCGGTCGCGACCAGCGGCAACGCGATCAACCCGATCGGGACCACCACAAGGTCGGTGATCCAATGCATGGGGGGCAACAAATTCACCATCTTCTCTCTCTTTCTCTCTCTCTCTCTTTTTCTCTCTCCCAGAAACAACGAACGAAATACACACACACACACACAAGGAGCTTCCCTCCTGCTCTCGCAGAACTCGGGCCTCGAGACACCTTCCTCCTCCCCCACTTCTTCGCCCCACACTCCCCTGATCGCTGTAGCCCGGTGAAGAAAACAAGAAGAAAAAGAAGAAAAAGAAGAAGAAGAAGAAGAAGAAGAAACCGAAAATGTGTCGAGTCCGGGTTCGCCTCCCTGCAGAAGAAGAAGAAGAAGAAGAAGAAAAAGAAACCGAGAATGTGTTGAGTCCGGGTTCGCCTCCCTGCACCTGCTGCTTCCGACCTCAGTGTCCTCCTCTCTCTCTCTCCTTCCCCTCCTCTCTACCGTCCGATTACAGCGCTTCGATTCGACCTGCTGTACTCTTTTTCCTGCCACCGTGGATCACGAGGCTTGTCGGCTCACTCCTTCATCCCTCCTTCCTTCCGACCACTCTTTCCCACACTCCGCCGGGCTCAGACACTTCTCTGCCGTGTTGTGAGCATGGACTGGATCACCACATATATAAACTGTTCTCCCCTCTTCTCCCCACTTCCCGCCAGTCCTCCAGTCCCCTGCCCCTATCGGCCGCCGGCCACGTCGCGGTCCCTTCTCCGTGCTGTCCTCTGGCAGGTTCAATCTCTCGACCTCTTTTTTTTTTTTTTTCTTTTTTTTTT